ATATCTCTCTATCTGTGTTATAGAGGGAGAACCATTTATGAGTTTACCCTGTATAAACTTTATACAGAGTAAAACTGATTTATTTGGGGTTTGGATCCCATTGGGAACTGGGTATCTGGGTGCTAGATACAGGAGCACTTCTTAAGCTGTTTTCAGTTAAGCCTGCAGCTTTTGGGGGACGTGGTTCAGACCTGGATCTATGTTTGCAGCAGGCTAGCATGTCTGGCTCAAGAAGACAGGGTACTGAAGTCCTAAACTGGCAGGGAAAATAGGCCCAGCACATCAGGTGGCAGTCTCAAGGGGGTCTCTGTGACCCAAACTGTCACACCCGGCTACCTGAGTTGTGAAGGCCAAAAACTAGGTTAAAAAAATCATTAGCTAAGTTCCTGGAGAAGAAGTCCATCAATGGCTATTAGCCCAGATGGTCAGGGAGGCACCCCATGCTGCGGGTGTCCCTAAACCTCTGACTGCCAGAAGCTGGGATTGGATGACAGGGGATGGATCACTCAAATTGCCCTGTTCTGTTCATTCCCTCTGAAGCAACTGGCACTGGCGTCTGCGGGAAGACAGGATACCGAGCTAGATGGACCATAGGTGCTGGAACTATGGGTGCTGCTGCGTCCCATGGCTTGAAGTGGTTTCCATCATATACAGGGTTTACAGTTTGGTTCAATGGCTCTCAGCACCCCCACAACACAAATTGTTCCAGCACTGTTAAGATGGACATTCTTCTGACCCAGTATGACCATTCTTATGAGTTATTCCCTTTATCTGACAGCAAGTAGATGGTGGTAGCAGTCACTGGGACTAGCCAGGAGTGGCCAGGACTGAGCCAAAGTGCCATGTGGTTCTCCATCCCCTCGCCCCCACTTAGGGAAAACTGTTCCTGGATGCCTCCGTTGCATGGGAGTTGTGCTCCCCTCCGGCCTGCTGTGCCCTTATTCTCAGTCTCTCCCCAGGTAGTCAGTGGCCTTACTGAGGCTGCAAAGAGCTTTGGGCTGCCTTCCTGTCCTCCAAGCTGTCTGGAAGAGTCTAAGGGAGTGTTTCTTGGCATTGGTCCTGTAAGAGAGCAGGACAGTTGCTGTGGTGCTGATGGTATTGGCAGTGGAGGAGAAATGGATGAGCTTCCCCCTGAAGATGCCTGAGCTCTGGGAGAGGCTGCTGCACATGTGGAATTTTTGGGAGACAGGAAGGGGACAGGAGGCTGGGGTTGCCAAGAGGGTGACAGGCTAATTAGTATAATCAGGCCCATGATGCCCTGGGGAAAAAGACTGACATGGGGCAGCCTTGTGGGTTTTTTTCAGGGGGTTAGCTCTGTCAGCAAGAGAGGCTCCCAGTGGAATAGCTGCGCCGTCCAGTGTGAGCTAAGCAAGTGGTTCACCCCATGCTCTAAAGCAGGTGGCCAGCGAGTGAGCAAGGGTCACATGGTCTATAGTTTCAGCTTTGTGCAGTGGTAGTCTATCCTCATCATCATATCCACTCATTATACTCCTCACCCGAACATAGCCACTCTATGAACTTCATACCCTCATATCTCAATGCCTGTACTTTGACCCATCAATCTTTTACCCCCAATCGGGGATATTGCAGATTATGTATTCCTTATGCCACCCGATTTTAAACCAAACTTTGCACCCTCGATAATCTGTACGTTATTCCCGATAACCAGAAACTTCTATGCTCAAACACTGTTCACTTTTTTTAACATCATCTTAATAAAATTTCTAATTGTAGCCTCTGAGGTTCAGCTGAGGCATGGTTATTGCTAATTGAAAACTTTTCCCAATATCCCACCTTGAGAGCTTGAATTACAGCTGTACTGGGTAATTTTTGGCAGCCTTTGTAGAAGCTGACTTCTTACCTGAGTAAAAAAACAGATGAGATGAAGGTCCTTGGGAAGGTACCTTCTTTGTTTTATCTCCTTTTGTCTGAGCTCTCTACATTTCTTACTGGGGTTCTTTGTGGTGTTTCTGGTTTGTTGGGGCAGGAATAAACATTGGTCTTATCTTAAAGCTGTCGTGGTTTATTCTGTGTTCCTGAGGCAATTGTTTTCCTTGTTTGGTGCTCTTTCTAATGAAAGAATGAAAGTTGTATGAGATAGATCAAACTGTAAATGATCCAGTATGATATTAATTTGATAATTTACTTTGGGGTCCTTTTCTAATACAGTAGTCTAAGCTTTTTTCCTCAGTATTTTACAGGGTCAATACAATTAGCTAATTAGCATAAAATATCCCAGAATGCTTCAGTATCTCTTCTTGTCTTTAAATTGGTAATAAAATTAGGGGAAGTCAAAATCTGTGTAAATATCTTATTGCTTAATTATAACAGAGGTAGGTTTACATTGACCTGATGGAGGAAAGTTTTCAGGGCATTTTGAGTTCTAGTGAAAACTCCCTTTAACCTGAAAGAGTGATCAGATTTTAGTGGCATGTAAGATTGGGACATTTTTCTTTAGCTTTGTGTAGTGGTAGTATCATAGCCAATGAGGTTAATCTGAGGTGTGATTATTGCTAGTTGAAAACTTTTCCCAATACCCCGCCATGGAGACTTGAAATATAGTTGACATTGGCAATTTTTGACAGTCTTATGTAAGACTGATATGGTTGTTGTAAAATCAGATTTAGATTGTGGGTGTTCATTATTGATTAACCTATTCCTAGCATTTTAAGTGCATGAGTTTTGAGTGGACCTAGGTGTGGGTGATGCTACTATTCATTGTTTTAACTGATAGGTTTTCTTCTCTTATTTTTTTTTTATTGTTCCTATTGGAGTAAATCATTGCCTGTTACTAGTGAGTGCTGCTGAATAACTGCATGTAGGGAATGTTCTGTTTATTTAATCAGTAAATGTCTCTTGATAGTTCAGTTTTTGGCCCCTCTCATAAGGAGCCCTGTAGTGAGTGGGGTTAAGGTATAGCTTCCAAGTGCAATACCCACCGGGCATTGTGGTGGGGGCAGTGAACTCTGGGTATGAATGTCTCTAGGCTGGGTGACCCTGAGTATTAACAGATAGTTCTTCGAGTCCTCAGATCTTCTGCCGCAGGGATTAGTGTTTCATAGCAATGGAGCAGAGCTACAACTCCGTATTAATGTCCCCGAGCACTCGGTCGGCGCATGGGTCTCTTCACCCTTCAGACCCCCCTGCGCATACTCAGAGAAAGTCACCAGCCAAATCCCCCCAGCCCCCAGCCTTGTATCTCAGGAATATACCATCCTGCACTGCTCAAGACCCTTTCTTGAGCAATGCAAGTTTATTAATTGCTTCTCCACTTTGTCAATGGAAAGTAGATATACACCAGCCTTTGTAACCTAAGCAGATTTATCAAGCACTTCAGTCAAACTCACTGATAAACATTAAAATACATGTATTGATTACAAAAGATAGATGTTAACTGATTATAAGTGATAGGCCAAAAATCAGAGTCGTTACCAAAGGAAAATAAAAGATAAGCACACAGTCTAAATTCTCAACCTTATTAGACTAGGCAATATCTGGACTAAGTTTTTCTCATCCCACTGGATATTGCAGGTTGGGTACAGTCCTTCATATGCAGGCTCTCCCTGTTAGCCTGGAGACTAGTCTCCTCAGCTCCAGCATTCACATTGGCTTCAGTGTAGGTGGAAGAAGAGACAGGACAAACCAAGTGGCCTCTGTCCCCTATTTTATATCCTCAGTCCATGTGCTTGGAGAACACAAGTCCAGTCATGTCTGGTGGAGATTGCTGAGTCACCAGCAAGGTTGAGCAATTCCCCTGGGGTGGCCTTGTGCATGTGAGTCCTTGCATTGTAGCTCCCTTGCTGGACAATGGCTGTTGATGGTTGTTCAACGCCCGCCCGGGCGTTGGTTACCTCCCTTGTCCTTGTCTCTGGGGATCTAATATCTGAGCAATTCCCCAACTCGTGACATATTTTAGTGACAACCATACTACACAATCTCATAACTTCATATGCCCTAAAGCAGGGGTTCTCAACCTTCATTGTACCGCGACCCCCTTCTGACAACAAAAATTACTACACGACCCCAGGAGGGGGAACCAACCAAAGTCAAAGCCTGAGCCCCGCCACCCAGGGCTGAAGCCCTTAGGCTTTGGCTTCGGCCCCAGGCAGTAGGGCTTGAGCTTTGGCTTTGGCCCCAGCAAAACCTAACACCAGCCTTGGCGACCCCATTAAAATGGGTTCACAACCCACTTTGGGGTCCCAACCCACAGTTTGAGAACCACTGCACTAATTATATATATATTTAGATAGAACAATGGCTTTCAGCAGATCATAGCCTTTCCCACGATACCTTACATGTCATGCTTTATATTAAATACAATTATATATAAATGATGAATATGGGGTTTACAGGGGCGCTCCCCCGAGGTGTAGAGTGTCAAACCAGGGTTGAGCAAAAGTGCCATGTGTTTTTTTCCCCCTCCCCCCATGATAGGCAAGCTGCTCCTGGAGGCCTGAGGTACATGTAAGTTCTGCTCCCCTCTGGTGTACCGTGGCCTCTCTTCTCAGCCTCTCCACAAGTGGTTACCGGCCTTACTGAGGCGGCAAGGAGCTTTGGGCTGCCTTCCTCTTCTCCAAGCTGTCTGGAAGAGTCTAATGGGGTGTTTCTTGGCATTGGTCCTGTAAGAGAACAGGACAGTTGCTGTGGTGCTGATGATATGGGCAGGGGAGGAGAAATGGGTAAAATCTCCTCCTGAGGATGCCTGAGTCCTGGGAGAGGCTGCCACACATGTGGAACTTTTGGGAGACAGGAAGGGGACAAGAGGCTAGGGCTGCAAAGAGGGGGATTGGCTAATTAGCATAATAAGGCCCATGATGCCCTGCGACCAGACTGGGGAAAAAGGCTGACATGAGGCAGACTTGTGGGGTTTTTCAGAGAGGCTCATGGTGGAATAGCTGCTGGCAGCTTCATCCAGAGTGAGCTAGGCAGGCCGTTAGTTCACCCCATGCTGTAAAACAGGTAGCTGTTGAGTAAACAAGGGTCACATGGTCTCTCCCGTTAGCTTTAGGCAATGGCAGTATCATAGTCTGTGAGGGTCAACTGAGGCGTGATTATCGCTAATTGAAAACTTTTCCTAATGCCCTGCCTTGATAGCTTGAAATATAGCTGCTGTTGGCAATTTTTGGCAGTCTCTGTAGAGGCTGACTTTTTGCCTGAGTGAAAAACAGATAAGGTGAGGAAGGTTCTCTGGGAGGCTAGGTTCTTTCTTAGTTTTCTTTTCTTTTCTCTGGGATTCCTGAATTTTTCACCAGGCTTCTATGGGGTATTTCTGATATATTGGAGCAAGAATAAATACTGATCTTGTCTTAAAGCTGTGGTAGTCTAATCTGTGTTCCTGAGGAGCTCTGCTATTTTCCTTTTCTGGTGGTTTGGGGGGGCTTGTTCTCCAGAGCTGGGAAGCACAGACTCCCTGAATTCTTAATGTGAGTCCTGTGCTCACTTGCTTCAAAAAGCATGACTGGACCCTAAAGGTGAAAGGGCAGCCATATAAGGTGCCCCTCAAGAAGGCAGACTAGATCGTTTGGCAGCTGGTGAAGAAGTGACTGTTTCTTCCCCAGAGAGCCAGCAACAAGCTAGTCTTCATCGCCTACAGGCATGGCAGTGCCAACATCCCCCGCATGGGAGACCTGTGCAATGTTGTGGTGATCACCCACGCCTTCCGCCTGCTGATGTGTCCCGACGCCATGGTATGGAACATCGCAGCAAACACCCTGCGTGATGTGATAAAGAAGTGGATCGGCAGAGCCCCCTCCAATGAAGACATCGCCACCTTCCTGAGCGGCTCTCTGGATGGCGAATTCAGATGGGACGGGCGCGACATTGCTTCACTGTGGTCCCGTGCTCACAACGCCACGCAACACCTGGGGAAGCACGTCGGCTGCCACTGGGTGTGGTGTGAGGAGCGCCAGGAGCTGGGAGTCCTGGTGCTGCAGATCAGGTCCCACAACAACACCATCATTACCCTGAGCACCAGGGCTGGAGAGGACCCTGAAGGCCGCTCTCCACCTGCTGTATGTGGAAACCCTGAAGCATAAACCGGACCAGGGTAAAGCCTTTGAGTTGACCAGCAAGTGGGCGCCAGCAACCACTTCCTCGCCGGGGGCAGCTTCACCTATTTCGCTGACCGGCGGTTCATCCACCATGCCCGGCTCAACTGCATCCCGCTCAACGGAGCCATCCGCCATGGAAACCGAGACAAGCGTTGCAGGAAGTGCGGCTACTCCAACGAGACCCCGCCCCACGTCCTGTGCAGCTGCAAGCTCCACTCCAGAGCCTGGCAGCTGCACCACAACGCCGTCCAGAACCGCCTGGTGAAAGCCATCGCACCACACCTGGGGGAGGTCACCGTGAACTGCACCATCCCCGGTACCGACAGCCAGCTGCGACCTGACATCAACCCCTGCAACGAGCATGTGCTGCGGACCTGCAGGATCGGTCGATGCTATGCACAGCTCATGCGGCGCCTCATGGTCTCAGACACCATCCAATGGTCCAGGGACATCTACACCGAACACATCACTGGCCACCGACAGTACCGGGAGGCGTGAGCTGGAGCGACATCGTGCATCAACTACTAGAAAGGGACCGAGAGACTTTGTCCATTGGACCATATGAACTGGAACCATAAACTCACTGAATGTTAAATCTCACGAAATGAGGGTCAGTCCATCCTCATCATCGTATCCACTCATTATACTCCACACCTGAACATAGCCATTATATGAACAACATACCCTCATATCTCAATGTCTGTACTTTGACCCGTTAACCTTTTCCCCCAATCGGGGATATTGCAGATTATGTATTCCTTATGCCATCTGATCTTAAACCAAACTTCGCACCCCTTGATAATCTGTACGTTATTCCCTGATAACCAGAAACTTCTATGCTTAAACTCTGTACTGTTCACTTCTTTTTGTTTAAACATCACCTTCATAACAAAATTTTCCCTTCTTTCCAGTGCGAGCGAGACAGAGGAATGGGAGGTGAATCAGGCCACACGGCTAAACCAGAAGCTCTGGTGACTGTAGTTGTGAAAACCAAAAGTTAACTGAGTTCAAAAAATAATTAGCTAAATACCTGGAGGAGAGGTCCATCAATGGCTATTAGCTGAGATGGTCAGGGATGCACCCCATTAGGTTTAGGGTTTAGGCTTGGTGCTACTCATGGTGTCTGGATTTAGGTGGCTCTGTGAACACACATTAGTAGATAATTTAGGATGGTTTTATCAATGGAAACTGAGGCACCTTGGGACTTTAGATACTTATAGGATTTGGCAGCAGCTGAGGATGGGGGCAGAGGATCTAAATATTTTACTTAGGTTGCTTAAAGTAGAAGTCAGAAGCCTAAGTCCCTTTGTGGATCTAGACCTAACTGTATCTTTGGGCACCTAAATACCTTTAATAATGAGGCTCCCATATCAATCCCCTATTTTTCATCCAGAGCATTACATTTGTGTGTAATGCCTGGGAAATTAACCTGTAAATCACTTCCAAATTAAGAGTTATAAATGTTTCAGATAATAAATAAAATTATATCTTGTTTCCAATTAACATTATCAAGATTAATTAATCAATAAAATTCTATTAAAATGTAATCTTTTGAAAGGGGTGGCTTGAAAAATAGAATTTGGCCGAGTGGTCACTAAACTTTAAAAATTAAAGTCCATTTATATGTTACATAACAAAAATAAGTAATATTGTTGCTTTTAGCACAGTAATATTAATATCAAAATGCAGCTTCTTAACATGAAATATAGAAATTGCCTACCCATGCAGTTTTAAGCAGATCCTGGAGGACTCACTCGCTGTGTTATATGTCTGTGTTGTGTGATATACTTGTTGCAGATGGTGCATATGAAACAAATGTGAACAAATGTGTAGCCAGCAATTACTGTTTTCTTCTGCTTCCACAACTTTTTAATGTTGAAGTTGGTACAATAACAATCCATATTGTTTGCATCTAAATGGGGCTATTCCCCAATAGAAGATTAACAATGAAAAAATAAAGTGTATGAGAAAGATCAAACAGCTGCATTGTAGCAAATTTAATGTTACACATTTACAGAGGTTGTTGGATACAATTGGTTATTGCTAATAGGTCTAGAGAGCATTTCTTATGGCCTTTTGCAGTTTCTTGAGCCAATTAGCATAAGATCCCAGGATCTTTTGTTATAAAGGTCATAAAGTTTAGAAAATTTAAAAGTCTCTATAAATGTTTCAGTACATCATTCTACCTGAATATAAGCAAGTTTTTCCTTCCTTCTCTGGCTATGTTAGAAACTCACTCTATCCACTTTCTGAGCATGGTAAAGTTGAAAGACTTAAAAGGTTATTTTTGTGTAGTGGTGGTATAGCCTGAGAGGTTAGGGGAAGGTGTGATTATTGTTATTTGGAAACCTTTCCTGTATTGATTTGAAATAGAGTTTGTACTAGTAATTTTGGAAGGTTTTTTTTAGAGAGTGAATGCAGTTTAGTGGTAGTTCTAGAACTGAAGCAATGTATTTTCTTTTAAAGTGCATGGCTCTGAAGACGGAATTGTAAGAAAGTGTCTGAAGATTTGCATTAGAATGTTTATTAATATGTGAAGGTGTTAGTCTGGGTAACTAAGCTTTTTTTTCTGTTCTAATTGGTGGTTTATTAAATATTTAATAGGGCTTCACATGACTCACCTTGTAGTTTCTCCAGTGATGTTTTAATAATTTGTTTGCTAGCTGAGTCAATCCTGGGTTAATGATACCCTAATAAATGTCTGTTAATGTCTTCCCAACTCTTCGTTCTTAAAGAGATTTGATACCTTGGTACCATATTTGTTTCCGTGAATAGGCTGCGATGGGGGGATTGGAACGAGTTGATATTCAGCGCAATTTTCCTTGTTCTCATCTCACTATTTCTATGAAGGTGGGAGTGGGCGTTAACTCTATGGGCATGTCTACACTTACCTCCAGAGTGGTCGATCCAGCGGGGGTTGATTTATCTTGTCTAGTGAAGACGCAATAAATCGACTGCCAAGTGCTCTCCCGTGGACTTCAGTACTCCACTGGAGCGAGAAGCGTAGGCGGAGTCGATGGGGGAGCGGCAGCAGACAACCTACTGCAGTGAAGACACTTCGATAAGTAGCTCTAAGTACGTCGACTTCAGCTATGCTATTTTCATAGCTGAAGTTGCGTAACTTAGACCGACTTCGCTCGCCCTGCCCCCCCAGTGTAGACCAGGCCTAAGTTTCCTGGTTTGAGAAGTGGGAGTGGAGAAGATGGGAGTTAATGATATATTTTGTGAGAGAGGGAGTGGAAATCATTTGTATTTTTGTTTTAAAAGGGAGGCCGTGGCTTCCCATTATTTTAATTTTTTCCTGGAAAGGAGAATGTAACCCTGGTTGTCATAGGTGCTGAAAATAGAAGTGCTTGAGGTGGTTTCCGTTATATACAGGGTTTACAGTTTTGTTCAATGACTTTCAGAACCCCTACTATAAAAATTGCTCCAGCACACTTGCTGGTTATTGATGTTTGCTAGGTGGAAAGAGTAACCAAGAATATATAAATATGGGGAAAATTTACTAAATGATCACTTCCAGTTGAGCCAGGTATTTTGCTATTGCTAATAAAGTTTGCAATTTTTTTTTAATTTTTTTTTTTGGTTAATCGATTGAGAATCTGAACTGAGATATGTGTGTTTTAAGCAGTTAATGAAGCAACTTTAAAGTATTTTTCATTTAAGAGTGATATTTCCCAGACTTCCTTGGAGTCTAAATTAAAATTTCTCCCAATAACAAATAGGCTGTAACCTGAATGAGAAAAATATTTTCTAATGAAAGAGTGAAAAATTGTATGAGATAGATCAAACTGTAAATGATCCAGTATGATGTTAATTTGATAATTTACATTGGGGTCTTTTTCTAATACAGTAATCTAATTTTTTCCTCACCGCGGCATTTTATAGGGTCAATACAATTAGCTAATTAGCATAAAATATCCCAGAATGCTTCAGTATCTCTTCTTGTCTTTAAATTGGGGGAAGTCAAAGTCTGTGTAAATATCTTATTGCTTAATTATAACAGAGGTAGGTTTACATTGACCTGATGGAGAAAGTTTTCAGGGCATTTTGAGTGGTAGTGAAAACTCCCTTTAACTTGAAGAGTGATCAGATTTTAGTGGCATGTAAGATTGGGAAGTTTTCTTTAGCTTTGCGCAGTGGCAGTATCATAGCTAATGAAGTTATTCTGAGGCGTGACTAGTTGAAAACTTTTCCCAATACCCTGCTATGACGACTTGAAATATAGTTGGCATGGGCAATTTTTGACAGTCTCATGTGAGACTGGTATGGTTGTTGTAAAATCAGATTTTAATTGTGGGTGTTCATTATTGATGAACCTATTAATAGCCTTTTAAGTGTATGTGAGTTTTGAGTGGACCTAGTTGTGGGTGATGCTATTGTTCAGTGTTTTAACTGACAGGTTTTCTTCTCTAATTTTTTTCTACTGTTCCCATTGGAGTAAATCATTACCTGATACTAGTGAGTGCTGCTGAATAACTGCATTTAGGGAATGTTCTGTTTATTTAACCAGTAAATCTTGATAATTCAGCTTTTGTCCCCTTTCACTGGTACACCAGGCTCCTAAAGAGCCTTGTATTGAGAAGGCTTAAGGTATGGCTTCCCAGGGCATTATGGCAGGGGCAGTGAAGATAAGCACACAGTCTAAATTCTCAACCTTATTAGACTAGGCAATATCTGGACTAAGCAGTTTTTTCTCATCCCACTGGATATTGCAGGTTGGGTACAGTCTTTCATATGCAGGCTCTCCCTGTTAGCCTGGGGACCAGTCTCTTCAGCTCTAGTGTTCTCGTTGCCTTCAGGGTAGGTGGGAGAAGAGACAGGACAACCCATGTGGCCTCTGTCCCCTATTTTATATCCTCAGTCCATGTGCTTGGAGAACACAAGTACAGGCATGTCTGGTGGAGATTGCTGAATCACCAGGCAAGGTTGAGCAATTCCCCAGGGTTAGCCTTGTGCAAGTGAGTCCTTGCATTGTAACTCCCTTGCTGGACAATGGCTGTTGATGGTTGTTCAATGCCCGCCCGGGCGTTGGTTACTTCCCTTGTCCTGGTCTCTGGGGATCTAATATCTGGGCGATTCCCTAACTCACAACATATTTTAGTTACAACCATACAATACAACCTCATAACTTCATGTGAACTAATGATATATATATATTTAGATACAACAATGGCTTTCAGCAGATCATAGCCTTTCTCACGATACCTTACATGGCATGCTTTATATGAAATATCACAATGATACATTAAAGATTAATATGGGGTTTACAGGGCACTCCCGCGAGGTTTAGCATGTCAAACCAGGGTTGAGCAAAAGTGCTGTGTGGTAGAAGAGACAGTGGCAGTATGTGATGTTCTGTACCTCGCGGGGGACACCCTACACCCCCATGTTCATCTTTATAAAATGATTTTGTGGGATCCAATGCAAAGTTTGTCATGTTGGGTGTCTTTGGAAGGCTCATGATGCACGGAGCATGGTTGTTACAGTAATGTTATAGTAATTGTTACAGTAATGTTATAGTAAGGGTATAGGTTATAATTTCATGTACATAGTTATGAGGCTGAAAATGTATCCTCAAGGCTTAAAGCAAGCCCATGCAAAAACTCTCCAAGAACAGAGAGGCAGTTCACACCTCGTCAGGGCATTGATGGGACAAGCCCAGCCCAACCCCACAGGAACATAAACCCTTGAGGGAATCACCCCCTTCCTTTAGGCAGTTTGGGACTGCAATGAGGTAATGCTCACCTGACTCTGAAAGGGGGGCAAAGCCAGTAGGGAAGAAAGGACATGATAAAAGGGAGAGACATTTTGCCATGTATCGGGGGTAGCCGTGTTAGTCTGTATCTACAAAAACAACAAGGAGTCTGGTGGCACCTTAAAGACTAACAGATTTATTTGGGCATAAGCTTTCGTGGGTAAAAACCTCACTTCTTCGGATGCATAGAGTGAAAGTTACAGATGCAGGCATTATATACTGACACATGGAGAGCAGGGAGTTACTTCGCAAGTGGAGAACCAGTGTTGACAGGGCCAATTCAATCAGGGTGGATGTAGTCCACTCCCAATAATAGATGAGGAGGTGTCAATTCCAAAAGAGGAAAAGCCTGCTTCTGCAATGAGCCAGCCACTCCCAGTCCCTATTCAAGCCCAGATTAATGGTGTTAAATTTGCAAATGAATTTTAGTTCTGCTGTTTCTCTTTGAAGTCTGTTTCTGAAGTTTTTTTGTTCAATGATAGTGACTTTTAAATCTGTAATAGAATGACCAGGGAGATTGAAGTGTTCACTTACTGGCTTATGTATGTTACCATTCCTGTTACCATTCCAAACCGGACAGTCCCTCCGCAAAAGAATAAATGGACACAAATCGGACATCAGGACTTCTCGGCTCTCCGAGCTCTGGTCAAGTGTAAGTAGTTTCTTGGTCTATCCAAGGCCATGATCAAGTGTCTTGATGTTTTTGGTCTTTTGGCCTTGAGATGAAAACCTTGTCTGTGTTTCTGGGACCTTGAAGTGAAAAAATATTTTCTTAGTTAACACTAGCAATTTTTGACAGTCTCATATGAGACTGATATGGTTGTTATAAAATCAGAGTTTAATTTAGGTATTCATTATTGATGAATATATTCATAGCCTTCTAAGTGTATGTCAGTTTTGAGAGGACCTAGCTGTGGATGATATTACGGTTCATTGTTTTATGTAACAGATGTTTTTTCTTTCCCCCCCCCCCCCCCACCATTCCTATTGGGGGAAGTCTTTGCCTGTTACTAGTGAGTACTGCTGAATAACTGTGTGTTGGGAATGTTCTGTTTATTTAACCAGTAAATGTCTCTTGATAAATCAGGCTTCGGTCCCTCTCATAAGGAGCCCTGTAGTGAGTGGGGTTAAGGTATAGCTTCCCAGTGCAGTACCCACAGGGCATTGTGGTGAGGGCGGTGAACTCTGGGTATGACTGTCTCCAGGCTGGGTGACCCTTAGTATTAACAGATACTCGCTGCGGAGTGGAGGATATTTCTCCGGGTCCTCAGATCTTCTGCCGCGGGGATTAGTGTTTCATAGCAATGGAGCAGAGCTACAACTCCGTAATAATGTCCCCGAGCACTCGGTCGGCGCATGGGGCTCTCCACCCTTCAGACCCCCCCTGCACATACTCCAGGTGGTGGGGGCAGCCTTACCACCCACCTCTTGGGTTTTCCTTGAGCAGGTCCTGTGAGAGGTGCTCCCCACCCACCCCTCACCCCAAGCCCTCCGGATCTTTTCATCTAGCCCCTGTCCCATGAGCCTCCCTGGTTCCCTCCCCTCCATAATCTGAGCCAGCTTTGCGTCCTGCAGACAGTTTGTTTCCAAGCCCACCAAGGAACAACTTGACGTGCTTGTGCTCCACACGTTTCACTTCCTCACCCTCGTGTCCTGCTCCGATACCAAGTGATGGGAGTTTCTACCACCTATAGAGGGTGAGGAACCCCGGTGTGCCAGTCTCTATTTCACCCTGGTCCCACGACCCCCCAGGGATATGGGTTGGTGGCTCCTTCACTGAGCCGTGAGCATGGGCCTGTACCTAGCACGATTCACCCCCATCCCCAACCCCTGCCCCTTTTGCGGCATGAGGGAGAAGTCTAGAATGTGCCAGGTTGCAGCCCCTATTCTGGCTCCTCTGGAACCTCCTGTTGAGGTTATGGCTGCACTTTTCATCTTCGCACACCGTTTCCGTGTCGCCACAAAGTCGTGAGACCTCCTCATCAACCTCCTCCTGGCACTGGCCAAAGTGGCCATCTACAACACCAGGAGGACAATGCTGGACGAGGGGGTGATCTGTGACTGTGAGGCCTATTTCCGTTCCTTCCTTGTTTCACGCATCCTGGCAGAGTTCCTCTGGGCGGCATCCGCTGGCTCCCTAGACAGCTTTGAGGAGCAGTGGACTCTGTCAAGGATTCTGTGCTCAGTGTTCCCCTCTGGATATCTGCTTCTGACCCCCTCCTGCCCCCCCACCCCCCTCCCCCAGCCCTGACCCCCCCAGAACCCCTTCCTGAACCCCAAATCCCTCATCTCCAGCCACACCCCCAAGCCTGCACCTCCAGGCAAAAGTCCTGCCCCCCTCCTACATCCCACCCCCCTGCCCCAGCCCCAGCCTGGACCACACCCCAAACCCCTCATCCTCAGCTCCTTTGGATCATGGGCATCAACAATTTTCTTCAAAATTGAGAACCACTGGTTTAGTCTGTTTTTGAGGTGCTTGTTTTAACTTTTCTGGTGCTCTTTCTAATGAAAGAATGAAAGTTGTATGAAATAGATCAAACTGTAAATGTTCCAGTATTATGTTAATTTGATAATTTACATTGTGGTCTTTTTCTAATAGTCAGCTTTTTTTCCGCCTCGACATTTTATAGGGTCAATACAAGTAGCTAATTAGCATAAAATGTCCCACAATGCTTCAGTATCTCTTCTTGTCTTTAATTTGGTAATAAAATTAGTGACAGTCAAAGGCTGTGTAAATATCTTATTGCTTAATTATAACAGAGGTAATTTTACATTGACTTGGTGAAGGAACGTTTCCAGGGCATATTGAGGGTTAGTGAAAACTCCCTTTAACTTGAAGAGAGGTCAAATTGTAGTGGCTTGTAAGATTGGCAAATTTTCTTTAGCTTTGCGCAGTGGCAGTATTGTAGCCAATGAGGTTAATCCGAGGCGCGATTATTGCTAGTTGAAAACTTTTCCCAATACCCCGCCATGACGACTTGAAATATAGTCGGCATTGGCAATTTTTGACAGTCTCACGTGAGACTGATATGGTTGTTATAAAATCAGAGTTTAATTATTGGTCGTATAGTATGTTTTTAAGTGTATTTGGGTTTTGAGTGTAGCTAAGAGTAGATGATGTTATTCTCACCGACAAGCTGTGTGTGTTTTTATCTTTTTCTACTGTTCCCATTGGGGTAAATCATGACCTGGTACCAGTGAGTGTACATGCGGGTAGGGATTGTTTTGTTTGTTTAGCCAATAAATGTCTCTTTTTAGTCCCTTCCGCAGGTACGCCGGGCTCATAAGGAGCCCTGTAGCGAGCGGGGTTACGGTATGGCTTCCCAGTGCCGGACCACAGGGCATTGTGGCGGGGGCGGTGAGCGCCGGGTATGAAGGTCTTCGGGCCGGTGACCCCGGTATTAACAGACGCTCGCCGCGGAGCGGAGGATTTTACTCCGAGGACTCGGGTGTTCCGCCGCGCCGCTGGGATAAGTGTTTTACAGCACTCGAGCAGCGCTACAGCTTGTGATGCTCCCCGCCCAGAAGGGCTGAGGGACCTCGGGGAAGGGATGGGGGGGGCTCAGCGGCTCGTCCCCCGCCCCGGGTAACGGATAGGGGGGGGGCTCAGCGGCTCGTCCCCCGCCCCGGGTAACGGATGGGGGGGGGCCTCAGCGGCTCGTCCCCCGCCCCGGGTAACGGATGGGGGGGGCCTCAGCGGCTCGTCCCCCGCCCCGGGTAACGGATGGGGGGGGGCTCAGCGGCTTGTCCCCCGCCCCGGGTAACGGATGGGGGGGGGCTCAGCGGCTTGTCCCCCGCCCCGGGTAACGGATGGGGGGGGCTTTAGCGGCTTGTCCCCCGCCCCGGGTAACGGATCGAGGGACGCCCCGCAGCGGCTTGTCTCCCGGTCGGACGGAAGCGAGGCTGTTCCCTCAGGCTCGCACAGGCGCGCCGCCCTTGCCCCCGCTCCGCTGTCCCGCGGGCTGACAAGCCGGGAAGCGGCGGCTCCCATTTCCCGGCCGCCGCCATTTTCCCCGCCCCATTCTCCGGTGCCTCCCTCACTCGTTTCCCGCCTTCCCCCTCCTCTGAAGCGAGAGTACAGCGGCTGAGTCCGCCTCAGGCAGGCTCCAGCTTGGTGACGCAAATGTCTAATTTGCATAAGACTCCCAGAGATCTCTGCGGCGATCTGGTGGTTTTGAGTGGCATGAAGGCGCTGAACCCCTCAACCCTGCTGGATTTGGCTGGCACTGCTGGGTGCCTGAGGCTGTGTTCCTCAGGGCGGCTCGTACCCGACTCGCCGCCACCTTATCCTAACCTTCCCCCTAACTGTACAGTTTATGGCCCGTCGAGGGGCTGCGGCGCCGACTGAGTTATCGTTAGCTTTGCGCAGTGGCAGTATCGTAGCCAATGAGGTTAATCCGAGGCGCGATTATTGCTAATTGAAAACTTTTCCCAATACCCCGCCATGACGACTTGAAATATAGTCGGCATTGGCAATTTTTGACAGTCTCTACGGAGACTGAATATAGTTGTATAACAAAAGATTGAAATGAGTTTTAATGTTTTTTTTTGTGGTTGATTTTTATGTTTGTTTTATGTGAATTGTTTTATACTCGTGGATGAGGTAAATACAGTTGTTTCTGTTTGTGCTGTTTTTCTTTTTCTAGTTTTGTGTGTTCTTCTTCTTGAATGGTTTTCCTGAGTTGTTTTTATGGTCTTTTCTGTCTACTATTTGTATAAAATCTTGTAATTTATCAGGTGTGTATAAGTTTGTTGCATCTATGTGTAGTAGATATGGATGGTTTTGTTTTCTTTATTTTTTGCCACTGTCTATTCCTGTTAATACAATATTTTAATAAACTGAGAACAACTCTAACCATTTAAAATAAATCTCATTTTGTATTCCCCCCCCACACACACATTGAAAGGGGAATGTGGCCTGAAAATTAAAGTTGAGAAAGCAAAAAAAAAAAATACAAAGTGAAAGTAAAGGCATTATATATGAAATAAGGGGGAGTCCAGTGGCACTTTAAAGACTAGCATATGCTGAAGGTCCATTTAGTCAGGGTGGATGTAAGTCCACTCCCAATTATTGATGAGGAGGTGTCAATACCAAGAGAGTGAATATTGCTTTTGTAGTGAGACAGCCTAGGGGAGTGCTAAGGGATGAGAGCTGAGGAAACGACGTTCTAAGTCAGCCATAAAAATGTTGGCATACTGTGGGGTCATGCGGGTACCCATAGCATTGCTACTGACTTGAAGGTGTTGGGGTCCACTAGGCATAGCTACCAGGTAACTCGGGAGAGTGGAAGGCCAAAAGTGTCAATGAAACTCTTTTGCTCTGGGCCTGTCTGAACCCCCAAACCCCATCTTGTGAACTCTCACCTACTTCTGTGCTAACTGGTTACATGCTCTGAAGCAGGCTGAAGCAGAAATGTATTGGTCAGCGTTTCTAGCAGATGGCTGCAGTTTCACTCACACTAGCAGACATAATAAAGATAAGGAGGAGGAAAATTACAGGCATCTAACTCAAGGTCGCAAAGTGTAGGACTCATGAATGAAATTGTTTTTAGTTATCCTGTACCATTGTAACTTCTGTTCACCATTTCATAACACCTGCCATTTTGCCTACATTGTAACTTTCATTACACTTGCCATTTTTCCTACATTGTAACTTCTGTGCCATATTGTAATTCAAACCCCATTTTAAAACGCTTACTCCATTTTGTAAGGGCTTGCTGCAACCTTCATTGTTGCAAACCCTGCTGTAATTTTATTAGTCTAGTTGAGATGTGTGAATGAGGAATGCATGGGTGATAGAATCAACCTCCAGCACCAGCCAGTCCTGATGAGATAAAGTTCAAATACCAACGGCTGAAGAACTAGACAACAGCCCTAACTCAAGCAAAAAGCATCCACCCTAAAAAGAAACAACAGAAGGAAGATCAAAGCCAGGTCCCAGGCTGACAGTCACGCCTGCAATTGACGGGTGATCAAGCACCAAACCCAGAGGCGGCGTGACACAGCGAGACCTAGGAACTTTGAATCCAAACTAAACTCCTATAAAAAAGGAAGGGTGAAAGGAGAGACTTTGGGTAACGTTCTGCTATCAACATCAAGGAGCATCGGTGCGCGCCCGACAGAGACCCGGCTCCTCCTCGTGCTCAGCTTTCCTGGCCAGTTAGCTGTCACGAGCTACGATCCCAAGCTGCGAACTCAAACTACAATCAGGACTGGTAACTATCCAGCAGCTGCAGAACATTTTGGTGTGTGTGGGTGTGTGTGTGTGTGTGTGTGTGTGTGAGTGTATGTGTGTAAGCATTAAGGTATTTGCTAATAGTTACAGATTAATAATAAATGTGGCATCTTTGTCTTGACCCCTAAAACGATCCTGTATAAGTTTGTGGGACAACAAAAGACTGGGAAAGTTTTCTCACAAGCTTATGTAGAGCTTATTGTAACAGTTGTCTGGAAGGGAGGGGTAAGGGGGAACAGCCAGACAAAGAGATGTATGTAAACAGTTTGGAGTATAAAAGGTAAAAGTTGTTTGTATGTGTTGCACTGGATTTGAGACATGCTGGTCTCCTAGTGCCATTTCAGAGCTCTGAAATAAACTTGGCTTGCTTTCTCCCCTCGGTGTCTTTATTGGTGCCAAGCACACCGGGCGACGAACCCCCTGTTTGCCATCTTGGGCCTTTTTAGGCAGGCAACAAAGGTATAGGTTGTCCCCAAATCTGAAATGGTTGTGCGTGAGGATAAAGTCACAAAGCTCAGGAACAAATCTACACAGACACACCCCTAGAGCCCCGAGCAGGGGTATTCTATCTGCTACCCAAGATCAATAAACCTGGAAATCCTGGACACCCCATCATCTCAGGCATTAGCACTCTTACAGCAGGATTGTCTGGCTGTTTGGACTCTCTCCTCAGACCCTACACTACCAGTACTCCTAGTGATCTTCGAGACACCACTGACTTCCTGAGGAAACTACAATGCATTGGTGATCTTCTTGAAAACACCATCCTGGTCACCATGGATGTAGAAGCTCTTTACACCAATATTCCACACGAGGATGGACTACAAGCTGTCAGGAATAGTATCTCTGATGTAGCCACGGCACATCTGGTGACTGAGCTTTGTGACTTGTCCTCACCCACAACCATTTCAGATTTCCCTCTCTTGGTATTGACACCTCATCAATTATTGGGAGTGGACTACATCCATCCTGACTAAATTGGCCTTCAGCATTGGTTCTCCACTTGTAAGGTAACTCCCTTCTCCTCATGTGCCAATATATATTTATGCCTGTATCTGTAATTTTCACTCCATGCATCTGAAGAAGTGTTTTTTTTTAACCTACAAAAGCTTATGCCCAAATAAATGTGTTACTCTTTAAGGTGCCACTGGACTCCTCATTGTTTTTGTGGATACAGACTAACACAGCTACCCCTCAGATATATATATGAAATACAATCAGGCAGAGGCTAATGCAGCCAGCAGGGAGAAGGCTGGGATTTCTTTCTACAGAGGACTGAGAATGAACAGGTTGGGGTGACACACAAGACCCTTCTGGAGAGTTCAGAGGTATTTCAATAGTTTCTAGAAACTGCTTTGAATATACCCTTACTACATCACATGATATCAAGCAATGTAATTCATTAGAGCTTATTAATTAGAATTTACTCACTTATAAAAGTGATCTTAGACTTTTACCATGAAAGAATGAAAATTGTATGATAGATCAAACTGTAAATGATCCAGTATGACATTAATTTGATAATTTACATTGGGGTCTTTTTCTAATACAGTAGTCTAAGCTTTTTTCCTTGGCATTTTATAGGGTCTATACAATTAGTTAGTTTCTTTGATAGCGTATGGCATAATCTCTCATATGCGTCTGACGGACGCATGGGCATTCACCCACGAAAGCTTATGCTCCAATACATCTGTTAGTCTTAAAGGTGCCACAGGACCCTCTGTTGCTTTTTACAGATGCAGACTAACACGGCTACCCCTCTGATACAATTAGTTAATTAGCAGAAAAT